CCTCCGCTAAAGGCCCTCCCCATCCCAAGTTGGGCCGTCATCCCAGTGATCGGCATACCACCCCCATCCCCCCGGATCCCTAGGCCCCCAAGAGGCCAGGACCCATCCATCGAAAACAGCACACAGTGCCACCCACAAAACAGAAGCAGGTCAACCGCCAAAAGCATTTCCAATGCTCTAACCTCATATATATATATATATATATATATATATATATATATATATATACAGTGAGGGAAAAAAGTATTTTATCCCCTGCTGATTTTGTAAGTTTGCCCACTGACAAAGACATGATCAGTCTATAATTTGAATGGTAGGTTTATTTGAACAGTGAGAGACAGAAAAACAATAAAAAAAATCCAGAAAAGCGCATGTAAATTTTTTTATAAATTGATTTGCATTTTAATGAGGGAAATAAGTATTTGACCCCCTCTCAATCAGAAAGATTTCTGGCTCCCAGGTGTCTTTTATACAGGTAACGAGCTGAGATTAGGAGCACACTCTTAAAGGGAGTGCTTCTAATCTCAGCTTGTTACCTGTATAAAAGACACCTGTCCACAGAAGTAATCAATCAATCAGATTCCAAACAGATCTGTGCCTCGACACAATCCTCTAACGGAGCTCTACGGACAATTCCTTCGATCTCATGGCTTGGTTTTTGCTCTGTGGAACCTTATATAGACAGGTGCGTGCCTTTCCAAATCATGTCCAATCATTTGAATTTACCACAGGTGGACTCCAATCAAGTTGTAGAAACATCTCAAGCATGATCAATGGAAACAGGATGTACCGGAGCTAAATTTTGAGTCTCATAGCAAAGGGTCTGTGTACAATTTTTAATACATTTGCAAACATTTCTGAAAACCTATTTTCGCTTCGTCATTATGGGGTATTGTGTATAGATTGATGAGATAAAAATGTATTTAATCAATTTTAGAATAAGGCTGTAATGTAACAAAATGTGGAAAAAGGGAAGGGGTCTGATTACTTTCCGAATGCACTGTATCTGCAGTGTTCAATGACTCTGTACATAGGGCAGAAGTCTCTAAGGTGCAGGGTTGAGTACGGCTAGTAACAGTGTCTAAATTCAAGGCAGGATACTGGGCGGAGGCCGGCTAGTGGTGACTATTTAACAGTGATGGCCTGGAGATAGAAGCTGTCTCTCGGTCCCAGCTTTGATGCAACTGGTAGCTAACATCCCAGTTGTGGATAAAAAAAATGTGCCATCAAATCATCTTTAAGCTTAATGATTTTATTGAAATCACCTTTAGAATTGTCTGTGAATGTACTGAAACTGTCTTTTATGGCCCTTGATTAGATCGGTACAATCAGTGATTGATATAGAGGGGGACTGGAGGCCCTTCGTAGCGTAATCACTGATATCAAATAACTCTTCTATACACGGTGTGTTTAAAAATAAATAACAGTGCCAGTGGTAAATAATCAACCATAGCTGAATTTCATTACATAGGCCTACATTAAATTGATTTTATGTACAGCAGTAGATTTTATGTAGGCCTACTTTTAATGTATGATGTTCTTGACTGTCCTGAAAGGCAAAATAACATTTATTATATAATATTAACTCAACATGTAAAGTGATGGTCCCATGTTTCATGAGCAGAAATAAATAAATCCCAGAAATTTACCATAAACACAAAAAGCTTATTTCTCTAAAATGTTGTGCACAAATGTGTTTACAGTGAGCATTTAGTGAGCATTTCTCATTTGCCAACATATGCCATACCTGTCAGGTGGATGGATTATCAAGAAGCTGATTAAACAGCATTATCATTACACAGGTGCACCTTGTGCTGGGGACAATAAAAGGCCACTATAAAATGTGCAGTTTTGTCACACAACACAATGCCACAGATATCTCCAGTTTTGAGGGAGCGTGCAATTGGCCTGCTGACTACAGGAATGTCCACCAGAGCTGTTGCCATTTCTCTACCATAAGCTGCCTCCAATGTCGTTTTAGAGAATTTGGCAGTACGTCCAACCGGCCTCACAACCGCAGACCACATCCGGCTTCTTCACCTGTGGGATCGTCTTTAGGGGTGGGGGTGTATTTCTGTCTGATTGGCTGGACCTGGCTCCCCAGTGGGTGGGCCTGGCTTCCAAGTGGGTGGGTCTATGCCCTCCCAGGCCCACCCATGGCTGCACATCTGCCCAGTAATGTGAAATCCATAGATTAGGGCCTAATGAATTTATTTAAATTGACTGATTTTCTTATATGAACTGTAACTCAGTAAAATCGTTGAAATTGTTGCATGTTGCGTTTATATTTGTATTCCCTTTCCCACCCCCGTCCTACTGCTTGCTATGAATTCTATCTGATGGTGTATGCATGTTTAGGCCAGTGCTTGATTGGACTGAAATAGGTGCCGGTACTCATTTTGGGTGTCGGTAACGTTTATATTTAGGTGCAGCAATACTTTTGAGCTACTATTCTATAGGAGGTGGAGGAACTCAAGCAGAATAAAATTTGAGGTGCTGGTACTCAATTCCGAAGTCAAGTACTATGTTTTGGTAAAAATACAAATAATGTCCCATTTGGAACACGTGCCTATGGCCCTGGGTCCTGGTGGTGTATTGATGTATAAATAAAATTGTACTTTGAGTGGTGATGTTTAAGGTTTCAACTCTTTAATAGAGGTCAAACTCTCCAACCGTTACAGCTTACTTTAAACTGAGACTCAGCGATATTACATTTACATTTTAGTCATTTAGCGGACACTCTTATCCAGAGCGACTTACAGGAACAATTAGGGTTAAGTGCCTTGCTCAAAGGCACATCGACAGATTTTTCACCTAGTCGGCCCAGGGATTAGAACCAGCGACCTTTCGGTTACTGGCACAACACTCTTAACCACTAAGCTCCCTGACGCGATAAGTTGGCCGTATATAGCTGTTCACTTTGTGCATCGCTGACTTTGCCTTCAATATTTTACCTACTGAAACCACATCACATTAAGTATGGGAGTATTTTGCTATGTTGAGTTGAGACTTTTCATTATCACTGTGGGTCTAGACTTTGCCTCTCATACTATACAAGATACACAGGGTGAGAACCTGAGCTATTGCTGAGTGGCAGTGAATCATGTTCTGCGCTCATGACAACATCTTTCAGCACTGGCACCAGGAATCAATATTTTGAGTGTGATATGGTGACATACAGTCTGTAGTTTGACAGGGCAGTAAACACATTGTGCCACTGCTGTCAGTCAGACCTTTGCCTACCAGAGAGAGTACACATGACATGATAATGAATGCCCTTCAGACCACCTGTTGGGTGCAAACGGCTGCATGTCCGGAGCGTTTGGGGAGCCTTATACCCTCAAGTGGTGCTTAATTTCAATTATCTCCTTGTGTTATAAACCTTTTATGTTGACCATTTTGTAATTGAAAATGTTAGTACATGACAAATTGTTGATTTTCCATATAGTGATGTTGAAAGATGGACAACTAACATTGGTCTTGGAAAATAATACCAGTATGCAAAATTGCCTATGACTACTCTACTGACTGACAAGTGGTCTGTACAGTAACAGCTAACAGCTGAGATATTCCAATATTTTAGGCTATTCATTGTGTGAATATGTCACAGTAGTAGTGCTCTGACAAGTTATTCTAACTACACTGAACAAAAATAGAAATGCAACACTCAACAATTTCAAAGATTTGACTGAGTTACAGTTCATATAAAGAGATCAGAACATTTTAATAAATTCAATAGGCCCACATGACTGGGCAAGGGTGCAGCCACGGGTGGGCCTGGGAGGGCATAGGCTGAGTTTTTCCCCACAAATGGGCTTTATTACAGACGATCCCGCTGGTGAAGAAGCTGGACGTGGCAGTCCTGGGCTGGCGTGGTTACACGTGGTCTGCGATTGTGAGGCCAGTTGGACGTACTGCCAAATTCTCTAAAACAACTTTGGAGGTGGCTTATGGTAGAGAAGTTAACATTAAATTCTCTGGCAACAGCTCTGGTGGACATTCCTGCAGTCAGCATGCCAATTGCACGCTCCCTCAAAACTTGAGACATCTGTGGCATTGTGTTGTGTGACAAAACTGCACATTTTAGAGTGGCTAAAATGTCTACCCAAACAAGTGGCTGACAATTTCATTGGAAGAGAGCGAGGTAGATAGATCTATTTTTATTTGCCAGTTAATATGTAGAACACATATACACAGTACATACATTTTAAAAACATGACAGGGATATCACAAAAGTCAGAGACTTATTTCCATTGTGGTCCCTATAACTGACAGACAGGCCAGGAGGTCTTCTTCAGGGCACCTTGCCATCTCGGACATTCATTCCCCCATACTTCCTCTGAATGTCCTAATCCTCCACAGACAACAGTGTAGCACCCAGCTGGGTGATGCTTCTGCTGCTCCTGAGGAGGTATCACAAATATATCAGCATAAGTGTCTTAGGCCTTAGTATTTAAAAATATCTACTCATAGCCACTAGCCTATAGTTTATAAAGTGATAAATACCTACACGCCTTCACCGACTGCTTGGGATACTGAGAATGTTCCAAATGAAATAAATCAACTTACAAAATCATTTGCCATATTTTCCAACGTAATCTGTTCCAAACATTTATTTTGATATTTTTTTATACATGATCTCAGTAAAACTGCCTAGATTCATAGCAATAGTGTCATTGTTCAATGGCACAATTTATTTAGTTGACTTCTGTTGTCCTTTTACAGTAATAATAGAATACACTTGAGAAAATGGAATTCTTAGGGTCAGTTTCCAACACTCTTCGACCCGTTTTAACTGCAAGTGTGTACACGTCGTTCACTTATGCCTATGTGTAAGCCTTAAATTTAAGTATAGATACTGCTGGACTAAAATGTATGGTCAATAGTGAATCTTCCCTCAGTGTGAGACAAAACAGTGACCACGATAAAACATGTTTTTTATTGATATCAGAAAACACATCACTCTTCACGAGAACAGAGGGGACAAATGCAACATTCCATTATGTGTCATCTGCCTGTTTGGCAGGTTTGCTCCTCCTCAGAAGTTCGTCATTTAATTTCTTCAGATGTTTTGTTCGACTCTCAAGCCTTCGTTGCCATTCGTCTCGCAGCCTATGTAAACACAAAGTATTATAATTGTTTAAAAGTCAGACATTCCATAAGCCATACGTTTCCAATATTGCTTTAGGCTACTTAATAGTATGTGTATTGTTAGGACAATGGATTTCTTCCAGCCTGGTTACAGATCTGTTTCTGCTTTTGCCTACTCCATTGGCAAGAGAGGTGAAACAGACGGGCATCCAGGCAAAATGTATCCTACAATTCCTCCGGGAATTCCAATGGGTTTATTATCTGTGACACCAGGCTCTTGTGCCCAGTATTGTGAGGATGGCTCTACCACCTTCCTCACATCTACTTGGCTTATTGCATTTGTTGCTGCTGTGACACTGCTGTGACACTGCTGTGTCTGATAATCCTCTAACCTTAAAGGAGCACAGGCTATTGTAGGACAGCTAAGCATGGAATATGGCATCCCCTAATATCACTCAACACTCTCTGATTATCGTATCGGATTCCCTAAAGTTTTTCCAGTCCTTCTCAGTTCAGGGATATACACATTATTACATGGACTAGCCACGGGGTCATGAGATATTAGAGTACGCTTTTGCTTTAGTGATTAGAGATTCAAATGGACAAGTATTTGAATGTGATTGCCAGTGTGAGTTGTCCTGAGATGCCCTTAGCGAAAACATATTGCTCATAATGAAATCATGGTCTGTTACATGTAGCACATGCATCCGAAGTGATATAGCCTAAATTGAGGACGTTTCTTACTCATAGCAGGATATATTCCTAATGCCAAATATGACGAAAAAAAGTTTTGCAAAAAGATAAATAAATAGACCTTTGTTTCCCTTGAGTACCCTTTCATCATATCCTGTGCAGTATTCTTATAGCACAGTAGTGTATCCCTCCAGAATGTCCAACAATACTTACTTGGTGAGAGCACTATTATTCTTCCTCATGTCTTCAGTTTCTGTCCGTTGGTCGTGTTTAGCAATTTTTTGTTCCCAGAGATCTTTTATAAAAAGCTTATCATGAATAAGAGCCACATTCATTTCCTAGAAGAAAATACACAATATCTAATTAGTTACCATGGACTCAATTAAATTCTGTTAGATTTGATTCTGGTTTGAAAAAGCTACGCAATGTCTCACATTTCTCAATGTCTCATAGAATCAATGTCAATTATGTTTATTCTTGACAGTAATACATTTTTCATCTTGAACATATATTTGTCAAAATATAGTAGCTAATGTAGTCAGGTATGAGTGATGAGACAATGAGTTCCAACCAGCTGGAATAATAAGTGGAACAGCATGCATAGATTATTAAAACCAACCTTCTGTGGGTATGAAGCTTCTTCTCCCAAAGAGCCTCAATGTCACAGGATGTACTGTATAGTCCTGTCGTGGTGGATGTGGTGCCGATGAAAGACTCCCCTGTCCCGCGCCCCCAGCTAAGCTTTATTTAAGAGCGGACAACATAAGATCTTCGTGTCATCTGGCCTTTTTTGAGAAGAGTTTGGAAGGCAGGGGGAAACATAACGTTATTTCCTTTTGTTACGTCTGATGACATTCTGTGTAGAGGCGACCTATAGCAGGGCTGTAGTAGTGCTTAGCTCTGCATTAGGGGCCTCCCACCTTAGCCTTATTCTACCCATCCCCCCGACCACCACTACCCCAATGACACCAGCACCAAAAAAAGGATTGGCTTGTTCTGTTCGTTCTGGCTAGAGAGCATCAGTCATTTGATATCATCCACTTTTATTCAATTTGAATGGCTCGCTCCACATCTTAAGACGGTGGCGCCTGAGAGGAGAGAGCAGCAAAGCTAGGCTGGGTAGCTGTGGATTGTGTTACTTGGAAACTGATGAATGTATCAGGTTCTAATCTATGACCAGAAACTTCTTGACAACTCCTTGTGACAACCTCAATGATTGGATGGCATTGCGGTAAATGGGGAACTGTTGCACTTGCAATATAAAGACACTGTTTAAGGATACAATTTGTATCAAGTGTTTTTTGTGTGTTAACTGACTGCAGATGAGTGATGATAGTATTTGTTCTGAAAACGTTATATTGCCACTACTCCTTTGTTTTATCTCTCTGAAAATAAGAGCGCAAGACAACACTCTTCCTAAACATTTTTAAATGTGCCTCACAGAAAATGTTTTGATATCCCTATAAATGATTCAAATTGAATTGCATTTACTTGATCTTTGCTTAAAAACTAGAAGTTTTATATAGTCATCTATGCCATCTTGACATGACTGGTTGATGTAGACAATATAGATACATTTCACAATAAATCTGATTCATTAATTGAATTGTACTATTATAATTTCTGCTGTTTGTCCATATAACTTTTTTGTTTACTTTGTATAGTGAACTTTAACCTGTCTCAGATATGTGATACAGTTTCCCTCATAACGTTGGCCTTATAAACTTTTTTGAATAAACAAGGCTATGAAATCTAAAATAACTTCTAACTTAAGTTTATAATGTCTAAAAAGCTCAAATAAATCACTGCCATATAAATCAACCACATCAATCAAGCCGCCACTCACATGCTGAATGACGTGTAAGATGAAGACAATTGGTAATGCACTACCATTCCCATAGTATTGCACCGGTCATGTCCAAGGCAGAACAACGACAACAATTACTTCGGTCATTCAGTGAAAGGGACTCAGAGAACATTGTATGGAGAGAGAAAGTGATCTATGTTGGCCATGAGGCAATTAACACTGGTGGTCAGTGTAGCGAATCCTTTTTTGAGAGGGTAGCTGTGATGATAAATGTGATAACACATGTCTGACATTTAATTTCCTCTGGGTGTGACACACTGTACGCCAAGGGTCTTAAAAATAGGTAAACAAGGGTTGTCATGTGGTCTATTTTGGGTACAGCAAGAGCCTTTGCTAACATACTATATTTACACTATCATTCCCTTATACTGATTCTGTTGACTTTGGATACATTTTGGAAGAGTAATCAATCAATAATTACCTCGCTAAGTAATAATAATATATAATAATATAGGCATCTGAAAGATATTCTAACTCTCAAATAATTAGTTGGGACTGAGAGTGAAGAGAGCATACACTCACACACTTCAGACTCATCCTCCATTTAAAACAAAAGCACGAGAGACAAATATTTTGTGAAGGCTAGAAAATGTCTTGTTGATGGATTACAAATTCAACATAACACGATTTGAAATAATTTCAAATGATAATACTGCTGCATTTAAAGGAACTCACATTCCATTGCTCCTTTTTTCTATACAGAATATCATGAAATGAAGGTGGAGATAGTTTGTGTTGTGACAAGTTAGGGGTGGTATACAGAAGATTTGGTAAAAGATAAAGTCCAGGACAGCTCAAATAAGCAAAGAGAAACGACAGTCCATCATTACTTTAAGACATGAAGGTCAGTCAATACGGAACATTTCAAGTCGCGAAAACCATCAAGCGCTATGATAAAACTGGCTCTCATGAGGACCGCCATGTTTTCTTTATTTTTATTTCACCTTTATTTAACCAGGTAAGCCAGTTGAGAACAAGTTCTCATTTACAACTGCGACCTGGCCAAGATAAAGCAAAGCGGTGCGTTAAAAACAACAACAACACAGAGTTACATATGGAATAAACAAAACGTACAGTCAATAACACAATAGAAAATCTATATACAGTGTGTGCAAAAGTTATGGAGGTAAGGCAATAAATAGGCCATAGTGCAAAATAATTACAATTTAGTATTAACACTGGAGTAATATATGTGCAGAAGATGATGTGCAAATAGAGATACTGGGGTGCAAATGAGCAAAATAAATAACAATGTAAATAACAATATGGGGATGAGGTAGTTGGGTGGGCTAATTACAGATGGGCTGTGTACAGGTGCAGTGATCGGTAAGCAGCTCTGATAACTGATGCTTAAAGTTAGTGAGGGAGATAAGTGACTCCAGCTTCAGAGATTTTTGCAGTTCGTTCCAGTCATTTGCAGCAGAGAACTGGAAGGAATGGCGGCCAAAGGAGGTGTTGGCTTTGGGGATGACCAGTGAGATATACCTGCTGGAACGGATACTACGGGTGGGTGTTGCTATGGTGACGAATATGTAGTGAGGGCCAGCCAACGAGAGCGTACAGGTCACAATGGTGGGTAGTATATGGGGCTTTGGTGACAAAACGGATGGCGCTGTGATAGACTACATCCAATTTGCTGAGTAGAGTGTTGGAAGCTATTTTGTAAATGACATCGCCGAAGTCAAGGATCGGTAGTCGCAAAGTCAATTTGTAAGTCGCTCTGGATAAGAGCGTCTGCTAAATGACGTAAATGTAAAATGTAAATGGTAGGATAGTCAGTTTTACGAGGGCATGTTTAGCAGCATGAGTGAAGGAGGCTTTGTTGCGAAATAGGAAGCCGATTCTAGATTTAACTTTGGATTGGAGATGCTTAATGTGAGTCTGGAAGGATAGTTTACGGTCTAACCAGACACTTAGGTATTTGTAGTTGTCCACATATTCTAAATCAGACCCGCCGAGAGTAGTGATTCTAGTCGGGCGGGCAGGTGCAAGCAGCGTTCGATTGAAGAGCATGCATTTAGTTTTACTAGCGTTTAAGAGCAGTTGGAGGCCACGGAAGGAGTGTTGTATGGCATTGAAGCTCGTTTGGAGGTTTGTTAACACAGTGTCCAATGAAGGGCCAGATGTATACAAAATGGTGTCGTCTGCGTAGAGGTGGATCTTAGAGTCACCAGCAGCAAGAGCGACATCATTGATATACACAGAGAATAGAGTCGGCTCGAGAATTGAACCCTGTGGCACCCCCATAGAGACTGCCAGAGGTCCAGACAACAGGCCCTCCGATTTGACACATTGAACTCTATCTGAGAAGTAGTTGTAATGAATACTCAGGGAGAAAAGGGTGTAGATTCACGCGCAGAGCACGGCAGGTGTTTATTACGCCTTCGCAGAAGGCAGGAATCGTGGTCACAGGCAGGCAATGATCATACACAGGTAGGCAAACAGGCAGGTGAAACAAAACTAGGACTGAAGGCTAAAACTGGTTCTCACAAACAAGCTAGGAAAAGGCTTAGTAGTCAAAATGAACAATACCTCACAAGGCACAAACAGACAGAACTGAACTAAATAAGGAGCTGATGAGACCAGGTGAGTAACTAACACAGATGAAATCCATGAACAAAAATGAAAGACGGCTACGTTGAAGAACACAAGGTGAACTAAGAAAATAAAAACAGAACCTTACACACCACAGGAAAGGAAGACCCAGAGTTACCTCTGCTGCAGAGGATAAGTTCATTAGAGTTACCAGCCTTAGAAATTGCAGCCCAAATAAATGCTTCACAGAGTTCAAGTAACAGGCACATCTCAACAACAACTGTTCAGAGGAGACTTCATGAATCAGGCCTTCATGGTCGAATTGCTGCAAAGAAACCACTACTAAATGACACCAATAAGAAGAAGAGACTTGTTTGGGCCAAGAAATGCCAGATGATCTCCGCATGTGTATTTCCCACCGTAAAGCATGGAGGAGGAGGTGTTATGGTGCTTTGCTGGTGACACTGTCTGTCTGTGATTTATTTAGAATTCATGGCACACTTAACCAGCATGGCTACCACAGCATTCTGCAGCGATACGCCATCCCATCTGGTTTGGGCTTAGTGGGACTATCATTTGTTTTTCAACAGGACAATGACCCAACACACCTCCAGGCTGTGTAAGGGCTATTTTACCAAGACGGAGTGTGATGGAGTGCTGCATCAGATAACCTGGCCTCCACAATCACCCGACCTCAACCCAATTTACATTAAAAAAAACATTTTAGTTGTTTAGCAGACGCTCTTATCCAGAGCGACTTACAGTTAGTGAGTGCATACATTTTTTCATACTGGCCCCCCGTGGGACACGAACCCACAACCCTGGCGTTGCAAGCGCCATGCTCTACCAACAGAGCTACACGGGGCCAATTGAGATGGTTTTGGATGAGTCGGACCGCAGAGTGATGGAAAAGCAGCCAACAAGTACTCACCA